ATCACTTGGGTCATCCCTTTTCTTCCTAATCCCATCAGAGTGGTTATGTGATTAATTTGTACCTCTTTTTCACACTCTGAATCCTTTCTTGGGTCCATCCTCTTCCTAAGTTATTATTTTTATAATTTATATACAATATAATGCACTCTATGGTGTTTTAATGGTTTTGCCAAATTCAGAGTTGCATATCTGATGTGAGTAGGGGATATGATAGTCCCAGCATCCACAAAATTCTCTTCTCCTACTTCTTTGTAGTCAATTGCTCCCGTATCTTCTGCACCCACTTCTGATCATTCATATATTTTCTGTTTAGTTTTGCTTTTTCCAGAAATTCATATAAGTGAAATCATTTGGGGTTTGGCTTCTTTCACTTACCAAAGCATGTTTACATTTCATGAATGTTTTGGGGAGAATCATAGTTCTTTGATTAGTCTCTACATGGATGGATGCTTATCCTTTTACCTGGTGAAGGACATCTAGGTTGTCTCTGAGATGATTATACACAAAGTCCTATAAACATTTCTGTACAGTTGTTGGCATGGACCCAAGTTTTCATTTCTCTTTGATGAACACTTTAAAGTGGTTTGCTAGGGGATAGGATATGTGTGCATGCATAGCTTTTTACTGTTTCCCTAACTGCCTGTCCAATTCTACATTCCTGCCATCTGCCTGTGGCTGTTCAGTTGTTTTTGTGATTGTCATCTCTCCCCACCATCATGCTGGTGTGTTTCCTTGGCCATTCATTTCTTGATAAACTGTAGTTTTAATTTGAACTTCCCTTATGATTAGTGATGTTGAGCATCTTTTCACAGGCTTATTTGCCATCTTTTATGGGTTGAACTATGTCTCTGAAAAGATGAATTTCTTACTTGCATTGCCTGTGAATATGACCTTATTAATAAATTGGGTCTTTGCTGATACTCAAGATGAAGTTATTAAATAATATACTAAAGAAAAAAATTTGAGAAAAGGAAAAAATGGAAACAAAGTCTTTGTAAATAGGGAAGGGTAGAGGGGTGAAGGGAGAGCAGGGGTATGGGGAAAAAATGAGAACCAAGACCTGTCATGTAAAGGTACAAGATCCCAGTGATGAATGTACCTGTACTGTATACCTAAAATGTACCGATAAACTCAATGAGGAAAAGAAGAATACACTAATATAACTGGGGACCCTATTGAAAATGGGAAATTTGCACACACACAGGGCAACTCCCTTGTGAAAATGAAGGTAAGGAACTCCAAAGGTTGCCAGCAAATTCCTAGAGCTAGGAGGAAGGAATGGATTGGGTATTCCCTCACAGCCCTCAGAAGGAACCAGTGTTTGATCTAGGGGCCTCTGGCCTCCACAACTAAAAAGCATTAACTTTCTATTATTCAAGCCATCCAGTTGGTGGAACTAGAAAAGTAATTCTGTCTGAATTTGGTGAAGTATTTGTTTACAACTCTTGCTTTGTTTTGTGGTTTATTTTTTCCTATTACTTGCTTACCCTCTGTAAATACCATTTGCTTGTTAGCCATTGTGATGGTTGAGTGACTGTGTCAACTTGAGAACTTTGGTTAAGAAAGCTCAGCTAAATCAGCTCAGCAATTCCATGTCCTACAAGAGGGCATGAGAGATCCACCCTAGGGGAAATGAGGGGTGCTTCTGTTCCTTTGGAAGAGCTCCCATCATTGTCTTGGACTTAATCTCCTACCTTGCAGCTCAAACTCTTTGGCTTCCAGCTTGGATACATCAGCTTTCCTTCCAATGTAGACTCTTCAGCCTTGCGTTGTACACCCATCAGCCCCCTGATATGAACTCCCATGGGACACTGCAGTGAGCTTCAGACCTTGGATTAAATCCTTCAGTCTCCAGTGTGCTGACAGACCCTCTGCACTCTTCCTCATCCAACTCTGTGAGTGGCCATTGTGAGCCAATCTTGTAAATTCTTATATATTTGTATATCTTGTGTTATATCTGCTTCTCTAGTAAATACCAGTACAGCCATTATAGTCCCATAATGGACAAAAATAAAAGCCTGAATGGGGATACTGGAGGCCAGGGATGGTGAAATAACTTAAGCCATTGAGGAGATGCTGTGTGCCGTGCTTATGGGTGAGTTAGGAAGGGGTGACACTGGAGAGAGTCCTGTGTCTATGATGTAGGGAGAAAATTGGCCCCTCCACATAACACCAAATGGACAGAAGAAAAAGCCGAAGTCTTCTTAGAATCTTGACATTGCATTGGACACAATGGCCCTTTCAATAAATAGCCTTTCAAAGTTTGCCAACTCATGATTGCAAGATTGACTTCTCTGTTCTCCGCTGGATCTAAGATGTTTCCTCTCCTTTATGAGTGATTCTCAGAGAACTTTAGGTTGTGGTTTTTAAAAAGTATCCATTAGCTACTGTAAGAAGCTGGGGTATGAGATTCCCAGCCTTTAACTAGTAAATATCCCTCCATTCTTCCTAGCATGAAGATTTTTTTAAATGATACTTTACTTTTGAGAACAGTTTTAGGTTCATAGAAAACTGAGTGGCAAGTACAGAGACTTCCTATATACCCTTAACCCACACATGCATGCCCCCCGCTACTGTCAGCCTCAGGATCAGAATGGCACATTTGTTACCAGTGGTGAACCTGCATGGACCCATCACTGCCCAGAACCCACAGCTGACATCAAGGTTTATTCTGTGCTATCTATGCAGTTTTTAAAAACTAAATCATAAAGCCTCCATTTCTAACTTCTGAGTCTGTAGTCTTATTCACCTCAACAACATTATGCAGACACCCACTTTGGAAATGGGTTAGAGTGGAGGTGGAAATTTCCTACCAACTTTTTTTCCAGAAGCTGACAGGTTGCTGTTAGATTTCCCTTGTCTTAAGATGGCTGCCACATGAAATAGCAGCCTCCATGTTAAAACATGGCTTCTCCCAACAAAGGACAGGCTTCTCATCGTGCCTCTTCTCCCACCAAAAAAGTAACCTAATACTTGCTACTTCCTAACAGCTGATGTCACAGGCTCCTCCAATCTCTTAATATTACCTCGCTCAACTCTACCCCAGTTTAGGCTGACCCCACCCTGCTCCTATAAAAAAAGCTCCTTGTGCTGCCATGTTGCTTCTCTCTCCTTTGTTCAGAGACAGCCTGGCAGATCCTCCCCATAATAAAGGCTTGTTGTCATCCTGGTCTAGTCCTGGGTTTTTGGCTCTTTTACCTAACAGTTGCTATATAATATTAAGCTTCCAGGGCTGTTAAAATGTGCGTGTGTGTGTGTGTGTGTCTGTCTGTCTGTCTGTTCCTGTACAGTATTTCATGGATACTAAAAAGCGGATGAACTGGGGATTCTTAGCTTTCCACTGCTGCTATATCTTGAAAATCTGTTTAACTCATGCACAGGGATACATGCTGTGTAACTGTGTTCATGCTGTCCTTCCCCCTTTTCTTGATCTGGAAGGTTCCTACTTTCAAGATTCAGTGAGTAGTTATCTCCCATAGGGAAGACTTTACTGAACTCCCATCCTTAATGTCTTTTGCTGTACTCTGTTCTAATCTCTTTTCTCACACTTCTTATATTGAGTATTAAGTTACATTATAGGGTGGCATCATTTTTTCATCATTATATCTTCAACCTATAGCATATTGCCTCAGGAAACCCCAGTAGATGACTTATGGAGTGACCTCTGTCCAGGGAGGAGACTAACCCTACCACATTACAGAGGAATTGAAGATCCAGCACTGGAATATGTGCTGTGAGTGTGTCATGTTACAGAATTTCAAATCTGGACTGTATAATAATGCTTTCTACTTTAAAATAAAAATGTCTACTTATATGTGGGTTAACTTAGACATAAATTTATTAAAATGCTTTATTTTCCAAAGAAATCTGGAAACAAATGATTTCATGAAAATCCAATCCTTTCATTGATGTTTTATTAATTATTGCATAGAACTGTAAAATTTCACATACCATATTTTACTAATAGATGTAAATATAAAAACAAGTTGCTTTCAAATAATCAGAAATATTTAAGCAAATATTAATTTATTCTCAATGAAGTATATATTTTGAAATAACCGTAAAGGTGTAAGACTAGCTAACTTCATGCTAAGACAAACTGTATTCTTCCATAATGTAACCATTTATACATAAAAACACACAATAAGGGTTTAATTCATTAGGAAATTTCCAGACTTTGAAAGTGTAATCTGTTGTTGCAGACTTTCTTCTTTTTCTCCCTTCTTAGCATTTATTTTCTTGCTGCAAGTGGTGAATGAGTTGACTGTGTTCCATACGGGGCCTGTGCCTACTTCTGAACAGTGAATCTGGATGTGGCAATTAGGGGCATAATCACCCAAATTTACCCTGAAGACTTCTTCAGAGCTGCCAGACTTCCTAGATAATTACCCTAAATCAAAAGGGCAAATAAGGTGCACAAAGTAATTGATTTATTAACAATCTCTTATATTTGTACTTTTATGGATTAAAGTGTGTTATATGATTGAAACTCAAAACAAACTTTGTGTGAGGTATGTGGAAGAGAATCCTTTCACACATGAAGATCCAGAGGCTCAGAGACAGGAGTCACTTGAGGAAGATGGCACAAACAGAAACTGATGGTACTAGAACCAGAACTCTGTCCTCTGGTTCCCAGCCCAGAGCTGCTCATTGGCACAGTGCAGCACCTCTCACTAGCAGGAACATGGGGAGGAGCGGCAGTCTCTAGCACCACCACTACTGGTGACTTCAGGCCAGGGGAAAATGAATCCCTGTGGCCTTGGAAGAAGAACCCATGTATCATTTCAGTATTACTCTAGATAGTCCCAATGTGCTTGATTAATGACAACTGCTATGAGAATAAGCATAAAATTGCTATAATTATAAACAGAAGTATAAATGGTAATAGATTGAGGATACACTATCAGGCATACCAAACAGTATGGAAATAGTTCACATGTGAATATACAACTTTCAGAAATACACATTACAAACAGTCTTGATTAAAATGTCAATTCAGAATCAATTTTAAGCCCTTAACTCCTATGGTACATTTTCCAATTTAGTTTAAAAAGCTAAACATATCTCTCATGATTTTTTTCACTATTAAATTTGAGGTTTCCTTTGGAAAATCAATGCCTTGTTATGTAGCTTCTTTTTAAACACAATTTGATTATTAGAAAGCCTTCACTGTAGGGGTGATCTTGCGGAAGAATTTATGACCTTGGAAATTTGTATTTTCAAATATATAACCTGGAGGAGTGGGATAGCTAGCTGGGCAGATTTCCTGTTTCTTCGGAGCATACTCTATGGAGTACAGGGTGACATCATCAAATGGAACAGAACTCTTCAAGGCTGCATTTAAAGGTTTGCAACTCTCAGTTGGAATCAGTTCATGTGGCACATAGTGAGATCTGGAAGTGCTCAAACCATCAAATTTTCCAGATGGGTTGGGAATCTGCTGCTCTTGCTTAATAAGTCCTGGACGACAACTTTCCCATGCTGGAAAATCTTCCTTCATGGTGCTTTTTCCTTGGAATGGAAAATTGTTTTTTCTTCTGTGAGAAACTGGCCTGGTGGGAACAACACGGCTGGCCTGATAAGGAATGTAGTCGAGATGGCTTGTGCTGTGTAACTGCATGCTCCCTGTAGGGGGCACATACTCTGCTACTTTCTTGACTTCAGGTGGTGGGATTTCCCATGGTTGGAAACTTTCACGGAATTCAGTGCTTCCTTCAAAGTGAGCACTGTGGGCCACTCCGGTGTAGGCTGGTCTGCACAGTTTTGCAGTTTTACCAACAAGACCCTGAAAGTCATTCCGGTGAGTGGTGAGTTTCTCAAAAGGCAGGTCAGTTGGCTTGTAAACTTCTTTTGGCCTTACAAACTTGACTTCTAGCTGATGAGGTATATAGGCAAGGCGATGACTCGTATCACCATTAAAAGGTGCTGTTGAACGTCTGACCACAGAAGGTTTAAAGCTTTCCCTGGGCTTTGTCTCCCGAGGAACATAGTCATCCTGAAATGTAGTTGAGTTTCCAAATTTCACAGTTGGGGGTTGGTAAATTTGTTCTGGTTTATAGGGGTCATTTTTTTTAATGTCCCAAGATCTATAATCATCTTTAAAATTAAAACAAAACATTTTTTAATTGCTGAAAAAAACAACTATCCTCTAAAAGTCATGACTGACTTCTCATTGCTGAACATAATTCATTTTCTTTAGAGATCCAAATGATAGCATCAAGAATGAAACTTGATTCCCTTCAGATTTGTTTTTTTTCTCTATTTCCACCCTCTTCTATTCATCTCCCCACTTCAATACACCAAACTTTCTACCTCTAGATTTCTCTGATCACACAGAAAGTAATGGCACATCTGAGCCTGGCTGGAGACTACTGAGAGCTAAAAGGGCTCTGTTATAGGTGAGGACAGAGTTTAGAAGATTATGGTCATATCCTTAGGAACTAGCCAGGATTTTTGCTGTAACTCACAAAATGCTAAGGTAATCCATAAAATGCAAGGCTTATAGAAGTGCTCTGATTTATGGGCAAAAATGATTTGGGTATTACTCCTTGCTGTAGAGAGATTCCTCCATGGACAGGGAATTTAAACTAAATGACACTCCCAGAAACTGAAGGGACTCCTTGAACAAAGACAGGGTAACTTGTACTATCTTAGAAACAGAAGTGGTTCAACTCTTCCTCTTCAAGAAATGGACTTAATAACATTCCCAAATGAGAGAGAGCTGTCTCTAGGCCAAGGGTCCAAAATGAGTGCATTTTAAAATGCTTAAGTTGATGAAGAATTTGGAAGTCAATAGGCAGATCTGAGATTTAGAAAATGAATACCTTTAGCCTGCTTCCTGCAGATTACCTAGACCATGGTTGGAAGACTGCAGTGTTTATACTTCAACTGAGGGTTCTTTAGATTATTTCTATATGAGAATGGTAGTAAACTGAGGAATGCTATAAAATTGTCATTGCCAAAATGTATTTCTAAATACCAATCTACAAAAGACACATTCTTATACAAGATAATGTATTCAAACATGGATGAGGCAATGTTTACTGGAATAATCCCAAATGCTCATTATGTGGATACCTCCTTCAAAGAGAAAACTTCCTCATCCATAGATATTGCTGCCAAAGGGCCAAGTTTTGGACTAATGATTAAGCCACTTGTGTTTGGATAAGAGTGAGTGCCTTACACAAGAGCAGATAATTGCTACGTTTCCACAGACCTGTGAAATAAACTTGTGAGAAAAGATGAGCTAGATCAAGCAGTCCTGTTTGGGGACCTAAAGTTGAAAATAAGGAGCCAGACAGAGAAGATCCTAAAAGGATGTCAGGAGGTAAAGTTGGAGGGCAATGGTAGGCAGAAGTTATAGTCAAAATGGATTTGTAAGGAGACAGAAATAATAAGCAGAAGGGTCAGCTGGTAGAATGGCAGTCAGAGCACATGTGTAAAGAGAAGGAAAGATATTATAACAGAAATCCTTCAGCTCTTTGAAGATGAGGGAGTATCTCTTAAACTCCCTCCATACCTGATAGCTTTCCATTTCCAGTTCACACGTTGCTTTGCCAAAAACTTTTTTTCTTGAGGTACCATGAAAGAATCTCTTCTTTCAAAACTACCACATTGCAATAACTAAAAGGAAACTAGAAATTATACTGAAGGTCTATAATTTTACACAATCATACAGGGACAGGGCTTGCTGCCAAAATGACTAAGAGAAAAATGATGTTCAAAAACAAGAAAAAGGAGCTGGGTGTGGTGGTGCACACCTATAATCCCAAATATTCAGTAGGCTGAGGCAAGAGGATTGATTTCCCAGAGACCAGCCTGCACAATTCAGTGAGACCTTGTCAAAATGAAATATAAAATAAAAAATAAAATGGAAGGAAGAGAGGAAAGAAGGGAAGAAAAATAAAGGTTTGTAAAATCTAGAGTGATGCCCCTTCTTTCATTTTTGATTTTGAAATTAGCATCTCCCCCGCCTTGGTTTATTAATTTTATTATCTTTTAACAGAATGATCTTTCAGTTTCACCATTTTTTGGTATTTTGTTTTCAAATGCATTGTTTGCTGCTCTTCGTTTGTTTCTCCTTTGGATTTTGTTATGATTGTATCTAGATGTCCCTTGAAAGTTTCATGTGCTCATAGGTGGGGTGTGTGTTACTGAATTAATCCACTGATTAGAATTAGCATAGTTCTGGATGTGGCTGAATAGATTCACTGCTGACAGAAGCCCCACCCTAGGTGTGGGTGGCACCACCAAAAGCCTGGTAGACTGGATGGAGTAAAAGACAGAAAGAAGGCAGGCTTGCTGCCTTGCTGCCTCCTGCCTACCCCTCTATGGACTGTTTCTCCTCTGCCACGCCCCTCTGCTGTGCCAACATGCCAAGGAGCCAACTGACTATGGACTGAAACCTCTATAAACTATGAGCTGAAATAAACCCTTCCTCTAAAATGTGAGTGTTGGGTATTCTGTCCCAGAAATGAGAAAGGTAATTAAGATTAAATTTGCTTTTATTTTCATAGTTTCCAAAAATAGAGGATTGAACATTATTTTTTATTTTCTAATACAAACATTTTGATGTAGTTTTTTTTCATTTTCATTAAATTCTGCATATTTTCTAAATTTTTACTTCTGCATACAGTGATTTGTTATCTAGAAATCTGTTGTTTAATTTACAACTATTTGAGGATTTCCAGATTTCTATTATTTTTGTGTCATTTAATTCTTCTATGGTCAAAAAATAAGACTCTGTATGATTTTTTTGTGAAGGCTTGTTTTATGGCTCAGAATATGGTCTACCCAGAAAAATGTTCTATGTGCACTTGAAAAGAATGTGTATTCTGTTATTGTTGACTGAAATACTTTACAAATGTCACTTACATCAAAGTTCTAGTAGTATTGTCAAGGTTTTTATATCCTTATTGGTTTTCTTCATGTTCTATAGATTACTTAGAAAGGAATGTCAGTCTTTGGGTATAATTGTAGATTTCTCATTTTAGTTAAGTTTTTACTTAGTATATTTTGAAGCTCAACCGTTATGGGATATGCATTTAGGAGTGTGTGGGTGTGAGTGTGTTTACGAGGCTAAACTGGCCTTTTGTCTTCAGCTAATGTCCCTCTTTATCCTTGGTAATGTTCTCTGTTTTGAAGTTTTCTTTTTCTGATATTAATAAAGTCACTTTCTATTAAAGTTTGTGTAGTACGTATTTTTCCTTCTGTTTCTAATGTATCTGTATCTTTGCATTTAATGTAGATCTTACTAGACAACACAGTTTGTTCTTTTTTCTTCTTCATGTATTATGACAATCTCTGTGTTGTAACTAATATAGTTACACCATTTATTTTAATGTGATTTTTTTCTATTTGTTCAATCAGTTTTTTATTTCCTCCTCTTTTTTTAAAATCTACTTTTGGATTAATCTTTTTTTTTCTTTACACTTATGCCTTCACAAGATTTATAAAATAGTACAGGTGTTGGCAAATTTTTCCTATAATAGATAAGAAATGTTCTAGCTTTGAGGGCCATACAGTCCCTGTTGCAATGACTCAGCTCTAATTGTGTGGCATAAAAGCAGCCATAGATGGCATGTACTGTACATTCACAGGTGAATGGGTGTGGTTGTGTGTCAATAAAATTTTATTTATAAAAAGTGGGCTGGATTTGGTCCACTAGCCAAAGTTTGCTATCCCTTGCCTTAAAGTTTATAATAAATATTTTAATTAATCCCTCCTGACTTAAACAACCATGTACCACTTTAATGATAGGACACATTCTGAGAAATGCATCATTAGGCAATTCTGATGTTGAATGAACATCATCGTGCACTTATTAATATGACTGGCATCCTTAGATATTATCTTACAGGGCTTCCATCAAATATGTGTCTGCTGTTGACTCAATCATAGTCTAAGCACCTTGTAACAGTACATTTCCAATTCCTACCTCCATCTTTTGTACTGTTGTTATTTATATACTATTACCTTTCATACAGTATACTATATTGAGTTTCATTGTGATATTTTCATATATGCATATAACATGCTTTAATCATATCCACCCCCCATTATCCTTTCTTCCTTCCTATCCTTTCTTCCTTCTTCCCTCCCTCCTTTTCTCCAACTTTTTCCTTTTTCTTTTTTATATAATTAATAGTTTGCATTTGAAAGCAGGGCACTATGTGTAACATAGTACTTATATCCAGAAAGGGATACAGTGGGGTTAAGTCAGTACAATTTGGTTTGCTCTTGCTAAGCTCACCTTCAGTACATATCCAGATTCAGATTCATTTGGCATTATCTTATGCTCAGGTTGGAGGTTAGTTTACTGGAAGGGGTTTCTCAATGTCTGCTCCATCCTCAGCTTTAGGCTTTCTCTTTGTACCCGTACCAGAGAGACTCTGTCTCTCCATGTCCTACCCTTTCCTAATGGCAGGCTGATGTCGCTTATGATCCAGTGCTCAGTGATGTGGTACTGGAGTGTGTGCATAAGGAGCGGTTTTTGTCGTCCTTGTTCAGCTTCAGTCTTAGGCAGGCACTGTGGCCCCAGCTCTCAGAGCAGAGTTCTCCCAGAGCCCTGGCCCTTCTGATGGAGTAGATCTTTAGTGGTTGGTCCCTGGCAATTTCCTGTTCTCTCAAGAAACAGGTCTCATTTTTATCTTTCCTTTTCACTTTCCCAAACTGAAATAGACATTTGCTTTTTCCCTGGGGGTACAGAATGATGCCACACTGCAGTGAATTAGTGCTTTTGTTCTGTGGATCACAGGTATTCAAATGGAGTTTCCTGTCTTTCCTCTAATGATGGAAATGCCTCTCTTTGTGCTTTTTCTAGTCTCTGGCCTCCTCCCTCCAATCTTTCTGATGAGCACAGAGTGAGCATCCATAAAAAGTCCATGAGTACTTTTGTACTCTGTGTTTGAAGCTCACAGGGCATCTATAGTTTCACATTAATCCACATTCAGTCTTTAATAATTTGTTTTTTTAAAAATTCATTTCTTTATCTATTTGCATGTCAGCCAGTCTTCAGTTCACGCTCTGCTCCAGGTGAAATGGCGTTTGCACACCCTATCTCAACTTGGAGGAGGCATTTTTCCTAGGTGGTCGAC